CAAAGGGAGTGGAGTTTCGCGGTTCCTGCCCGCGGGGAAAGGCGCCAAGGGGACCAGGGGCCCAATCCGCTACCGGAGGCGGGATGTAGTGGGAGCCACAGCTGTCAGTGTCGCACCCAGGGACTGCGCCCCCGCGGGGCCGACCGGGCGCCAGGGCGGAGAGGAGGGGCGGCGAGGGGCGGGGCGTGTGGGGCGGGACGGAGGAGGGGCGGTGGCACCGGCTGGCGGCTCCGGCTGGGCGCGCCGAGAAGTCCCGCTCCGAGAGCCGCGAGCGCCTGGAGTAAGGCGCGCTCGGTACAATCCGGGGAGCGAAGTCCAGAGCGCCAGAGCAAGGGCGGGAGAAGGGGGTGTCCCCGCGTCGCCACCAGGGACCCCTTTCCCTGCCACGATCCAGCCCCGGGTAGCCGGTGGCGCTGGCGGCGTGCCGCCGATGGAGTTCACTTGAGCCGGGAACAGGCGGGAGAAGAAGGCCAGAGCAGAGGTAGTCCCGCGCCCCGCAGCAGCTTCAACCACAGCTCTCCGGACCGCACGCTGGCGACACCCGCGGCCGATCGCCACCCCTGGAGCGTCTTGGTGCCCTGCCGCGACAGGCCCAGGAGCCATCAGATCAGCCTGCGGCGCTGCCGTGCAGGCGGCACCCGCTGTCGGGGAGCCCGAGGCGGCCGCCGGGGAGCAGCTTTCGCCGCTGCCGCCGTACGCCCTCCTCCTCCCTCTCCCTCCTCCCTCCCTCCGCACATGGTCTCCTTTGTCCTGTCGCCGCAGCAGCCGCCTCGATCTTAGCTACGCGCGCCACGGCGGCGGCTCCTGGGCCGTTGCTCTTCAGCTCTGCCAGGTCCCCAGGGCGCACCAAGTTGAGCCCTTGGTCTGAGCCAGCCGGTCCCCCGCGCGCCCCGCAGGAGCCACCGGGAGAGCGCGCGGGCCGGGCCCCCTCCCCATCTCCCTGCTACCCGCCCTGGACTTGGCTGCGTTGGATGTGCGCGTGCGGCGCTGACTCCCGGCTGCCACGGAGGAGCCGGGTGCTGCTGCTGCTGCTGCTGTGGCCGCTGCTGCTGTTGCGGCTCCGGTTCGGATTTGGTTCGCGTGCCTCGGCTTTGAGACTTTGGAGAGGAATTAGCAAAACACACAGACTTGTGGACCTAGCCCGGCCGGCTGGAGTTGGGCGTTTTCTTTGCTGTGGGTTTTGGTTGCTCTCTCTGGGTGGTAGTGTGTGGTGATCCAGCCGGAGGGAACCCGGCGGAGGACCCAAACCATGAACTTGGGGTTGACAAGACCGCCGAACCCCTGGCGACCAGGTAACGTTGTCCCCGCACCCCTGGGGGGGTGGGGTGGGATGACTCAATTGCTCGCCACCCGCGGTTGCGGGGGAGGAGGCAGGGGTCGAGGGGTCTTTTGTTGCAGCCGCCGCCGGGCCAGGGTGGTAACAGGGGCGGGCTGCTGGCGTCTGGCGGGCCCGGCCTCCCTCCCCCACCCCTCCCCCGCTCCCCTTTGTACTTTCCTGGCTCCCTGTACCCGCTGGGCTCGGCCGGTGAGCCACTAGCGCTTGCCCGGGAAGCCCCGGTGGATAGAGACTATCCCACCTCCGGGGAGGGGACCCATGCTTCCCCAGTGAGATCCACTAGACCCCAAGCTGGAATGCCTGCGTCCTCTTGGGCTAGAAAGGGCTCCCTGGCGCGGTGCTGCCTGCTGACGGGTCACTGTCCCCCCTCACTGATCTCCGGGTCTCCGCCCTCCTGCTTGTGCGCACGCGGAACCCGAGGAAGGGAAGAGAGCTGGCTGGTGCAGGAACTCACCGGCGCTTAAGTTTCCAAGAGGATTGTCTTGGCTGCGCCTGAAGTCCTTCTTACTGTTGGTGCGGCTTTGGAGGACCGCCTCGGTGATCCGAGTTTTAAGGGGATCCGGGTGCAACTCCAGACATTTGGGACCCACCCGTGTGTGCGTGCGGTTTTTATTTCTTTATTTTTATTCATTTTCCTTATTAGCCAACCTGCTTGACTTAACTTTTCTTTCCACGCCAGCTCCAGCGTCTAGAGCATAGAAAGTATTGATATAAAAAGGCAAATAACACCTATATATCTTCCCGGAAAATGCCCTAAAGAGCTTGTTTCTCTGGGAATTGTAGACACAGCCTCTAAGTGTATAAAGCCCGTCAAAGTCAAGACGAGGAAACGAAATGGCAACGGATACATTAAAATGTGAGCAGCTAAAGGTACTGGGTGCCAGAGAGCTGAGGGAAGACATTTGGTGCGCCTGCCGCTAGATCCACCGCACCTGCATTAGTCGTTGTGAATTTAAAAAGAAAAACTGGCTAGGGAAATGATCCAAGTCATAGAGGGAAATGTACTTTTTTTCTTTTAAAAGTAACAAGATGAACACGTCTCCACGATTGAGGAGCCAAGGAACCCAGCGATTTGTCCAAGCGATTTATTAAAAAAAAAAAAAAAAGAAGTACATGTTTATGTACGTGGAGGGTCTATGACGGAGATCAGAGGACAACTTTCAGGAATCCGTTATCTCCTTCCTCCTTTATGTGGGTGCAGTGATGGAATTGAGGTCGTCAGACTTGGCAACAAGCTGAGCCATCACACCCACTATCGTCTACAAATGATTTTTAAAAGTGTGAAAGGAAGGAAAGTTCCTTGAAGAAAGATCTACGGGGAATTTGTACCTATCAAGACTTTGCCTGGGGGGCTCTCGAGGAATTTGGATGAAGGTGGTCCACGAGGCCAGATGGGAGAACAAGGGACCAGAAGGACTTTTTCCACAAGCCGCCTAGGCATGCGTACCTTTGGTGTTTTTGCTTTTTCAAAGGAGGCCTTTTGGAGACATCTCCTTAATGCAAGGCTCGAGAGACAATTCAGCGTTTTGTGACGGATATCAGTAAATTGAAGGGTTCAAAAAGCTTCCATTAGAAAGCATTGCTCTGAGCGTCCTGAATATCCATCGGACACGTTTCCTTGATAACTGGTGGGCACAGCAGCATCAGGTCCTCCGGGTCACTTTACTATCTACTTGAGAGCATACTCAGCGCCGGCCAGTGGTGCTCACAAAGGGGACAGAATCACAGGGGCTGCCACCTACAGCCTAATCCTGCCCTGGCTTCCATACCCAGAGCTACTGAAAATGCAACCTTAACCAGTTGCTTCCCCCTAGCTATGTTTTTTGCCGTTTTGGAAGAGCAGTAATTTAAAAACAAAAACAAAAAACCCCACAAAAACCCATTAGTCTCACTGTACCAGAAAACCCTCAATTTTCCGAATGTTATTTTAGTTTTGTAAAATAATTGAAGAGACAGGGCGTTGCTTGTGTGTGTGCATGTGTGTAGTTTTTTTTCTTCTTTCAAAAAACATTAACTCCATTTTAGTTTTGAAGCCATGACTCGCTCATGACCACTCTAGGGGCAATTAACAGCGTTTTCAGAATGAGGAAAACTCTTTGAATTGCTAGGTTTTAAACTGGAACACTCACAAGTGTAGACATCGCTTTACTGTGTGGGTATATAGTAACACCTCTGGTGCAGCCGAGAAATCTCGTGCTTTGTCAGACTGCACGCCGTGCGGATCTCTTGGACTGTTTGCTGCTGAGCACCCTCCCGAAGACTTTCTTTGTGGCTCATTTTTATGAAATGATACTATAACGTAATATAATTTCATTTAGTGTTTCTTACGATGTGAGGAAAGCTATGTGTGTATTTTATTCTTCCTACAAAAGTAGAGGGTGGAATCTCTGTATGGTTTTTCACAAATGAATGCGATTGAATACTTATTTTGTACAATTTTGCCCTTGATCCTATTAATCCTCTGAACCCACCCCTGCAGCAGGAAGATTAGAATTAAAATAAATGAGAACCAGCCATAATAAAAAATAGGTTAGGTCTTTTTATATCCCTGGCCTTGTGAACTGGAACATTTCCCTTAGTTATACACAGAAATATTTTATCTCCATCAATGTAGCATTGAAAGACTACATAGAATATCTTCTTTGTCCCCCAAAGCCAGCCCAAGTTTCCTCGCCCCTGTTCCCCTTATTTCTTTCTCTCATATTTACTGAACATTCTGTGCCTTGCTTGGTCAAATATATGCATTTCTGTATAAAGCTTGAAAGATAAGAGTTTTCTCATTCGGGTTATAAGTCGAACACAGTATAAATGTAGGTGGGCCTTGATGTTTCAAAGGGGTATCTTCAAATCAGAACAGTGAACTTGCTTAATTTTACCTTTTTTCTAAGTCCTAGAAATAAGGAATAAATTGTCAACATTACCGCCTCTTTCCACGAAACCGACTCACCGTTTATTTCCCAGCACATTAGTATATGATTTAAATTGACTTTAATCTTGCTATTTAAACAAGCTATTGACTTCCCTCATGCCAATGTAATAATTAGCAGACATGATCTCTGAAAAACATGAAGAGGAAGTAACCCTGGTGGCATAGTGGCCAGGTTTTAAACAGGGTCAACCCTCATTTGAAACACTGAGCTTGGCCTGGTTACTGTGAGAAGCCCTGAACATCGGGGTCATCAAAACACCTTCAAAAACAAATTAATTTCTGGGTACAATGGTTGACACTTTAGTGAGGAATAGCTTAATGTCCAAAAATACAGATTTCTAATTTATAGAAGAAAATTGAAAAACAGAAAATCTACTGGCAAAAAAAAAAAAAAAAGCCATTTCCAAAATAATGATCTGTCAACGGAATTGGTAAATCATTTGCGAATTAACTAAATTGCCTTGTGGACCATTTCATAGAAATATGTTTTGCACCGATAATATGTCTAATAAGGACACGTTTTGAAAATCAGAATTTTTTCTCTTTCCCCCAATAAATAGCTGCAGTGCAGGCCTTTCTCCAGCAGTCAACCAGCACCACCTTATGGAGGATCTGGGGAAATTACGGACTCTTACATTTTCCTAAAATATTGTCAATTGATTTAAAATCATAGCAACCCAGGATGCTGTGGGTGATGGTCTTTGCTGACAGTCTTCACGTCTTCTTGTTTTTCAGGCATCAGATGCGAGCTCTGAAAAACTCTTCAACACTGTTCTTATAAACAAAGGTAAGACCCTCCTTTATTATTCTAAATGATGGCTTTAATATAAATATGCATCTCGTTGCCATTGTCTGAGAAGGAGAGAAGGAAAATCCATGCGCTCTTTTTGTCTTCACATTTTGTGCTTTGGCGCGCTGTGGGGTCTGGATGTTTTTGAGATAAGGGAGGGAAAGTTCACTTTGAAAGAATTTACTGATTCCTTGTTTAAATTGATCGGTGGTGTTAATTTCATGTAGGCAGCTGCAATAGAGAAGAATGTTTTTACAATGTCTTGATTGCTGGTTATCAACTTCCCGGCAGTCGGAGCATTATAAATAGTACATGTGGGCCTCCGACGGTAATAACCAGCGAGGGTATTTAGTGTACACAGCGTTATAACCAGAAGCCAACCTTTCTGCTCTGGGCCCTCTGTAAAGTTAATAAATGTGCAAAGAGGGCAGAATTTAATTACGTACTTCCCCATTTGTTTCTTCCAAACCTCAGTCTAAAGAGTAAGAGAGGCTAATGATGCCGAGATACATTTGGGGAAGACTCACCCTAAATAACTGCCGGTAGGTTTCTTAGCCGTCTTCATTTGCAGAAGTGTCTTTAAGCCACAATGAATTTTAGGGGCGTCTCCAGGCACTGGCTTCAATGGGTGTGTCATCCGAGTGGGGCAAGTGCCAGCAATCCACCTTCCCCTTCCCACTATAGACCCTGACTTAGGGGCTTGCAGGATAATTATTGCTAAATAATTGCTAAATAAAGATGTGCTGGCCCGTGGCAATCTCTGTATCACTCAGGATGCCTGGGAGTGCTGGACCAGCCCTGGGTCAGGAGTTAGGTGCCCATGGGGTGAAATGGGAGACCATTTCAGCCAACAGTTTATTTCATTTTTAAAATTTTTATTTTTTGTTCTTTTTGCTTACTAGTTAGTAAGATGTCTCTGTATAGTTAATTTTGTGCTCTCCTATTGTTTTGAAATTGAACCTACCTTGATTTTTAAACAGTCCATTATCGTTGAAGTTGTCCGCAGGGCCTGTGTGCTTATCACTTTGCTGGGACTCTCAGAATTAATGTCATATTGAATATGAGCTTGAATTTTAATTGCATGATACGATTCCAGCTTTATATTTCATCATATTTTTAATGACCTGAGAAGTTTGTGTAAATTTGTTCTTCATAATTCTAAAAGCCCAGTAAAAGCTGGTGTGGGTTCTTGACAGCTCATCTCCCTCAATGGTAGGAATGTATGATTGCTTTCTGATCCTGTTACTGAGAGGGAAGAGTTAGTGGACCTTGGAGGTGTCCTTGGTACAAAGGAAAGGAAAGGTAACAGGAGAGGGACCTGAGGCAGGGCAGGTCACTCACTACCCAAAACAATTTGTATGATTCTCTGACCTTCCCAACCCTGGCACACACACCTCCAGTCACCTGGGACAGGGTCTTTTTTGTGCTAAGTTGCTATGGCCCTTTCTAAGCTCTGGGTTTGGCTCTAATTGCAACTTAAGGAGGGCAACCCAGACTGTGTGCTGAGCCCCTTCTCTCTCTCCTTCCTGTCTCTTCTCTCTTTTTCCCATCCCACCGCCAGCCTCGAGTTTCCAGTCCAGCACTTCCCGTGTTCTTATTTGTGTTTGCTTACACTGAGTGATGTGTGGCATCTATTTGGCAGTGCACAGTCATGCCCCTGACCGGGTGCCTTTCTTCTGAGCTGCTTTGCTGAGAGAAGTGAGGGGTGATTTCAGTTGCCTTGAAAGGATTAAGGTTTCTTTGTGTATACTAAAATCAACACAGGCTTTTCTCCTAAGCTTTGCTTGGGAAACGTACACAAATAAGCGTTTTAGTTGATGACGGATTATTCCTTAGCCCCTTATTTCCATCAAAATGGCCTTTCTTTCCTCCCCTGGAGTTTCCCCTTAATGCCTTATGCTAATTCCCCTTGGTAGCCTGAATGACAAGCTCCTGAATCGGTGTGCAAGTACAGGTGTTGCTGAAGTAGGTAGAGTACCTGGTACTCAACCCTTTCTCCCTGGAGAAGGAGACTGAGGGATGCGGAGAATCTCAAACAGCATTAGCGTAGTTTTCAAACTGCTAAATATCAGGAAAACAACTACCCCCCCCCCCCCCCCCAAAAAAAAAGATTGCTGTGTAGAATTGATGTCGGTAACTCCTGGGAGACAGGTGCAGTGAGCCTCGCCAGACACATGTGGTTTGGTGTCTGCTTTTACTCCTGGTAGTAGCAGTGGCGGTGCTTCCTGGATATATGGCGGACAGGTCCTTCAGCCGTCGCCTTCTCTCGCATCAAGTTCAAGTAAATATGAAAAGCCAGCTTGCTTACCTAAAAGTCAGTCAGGTCTCTCTGTGTATGTACATATGTATATACACACACACACACAATTTTTAAGCTTTGCAAGAAAGGACAGGTTTACACCAGGTAACAGACACAGCAGGGACATTCTTAAAGGCCTTCTCTTACTGAGTACATTAACAAGGGTGTTGGGAAGTCCCACGTTGGCACTCTTCAGAGTCATGTTCAAAGCCACGTATCACCCCCTCTTCTCCACAGGAGCCTGGCAGTCTTCTGGTCTCAGAGTAGCAGGCTTCGCTGGGAAGGTTATGCCTCCAAGCCTGGTGGTCTGGTGGGTGTGCAGATTTGGTCCATAAAATTTCACTGTTGGAGGGCAGTGGTAAGCTCATTGGCTGATTGGGCCAGGGACTCTGGAGTTGGCAACTTTGGTGTTGGCCTACTCAGCTTCGAGACAGAGCCCCGGGCTGTAACAGCAAGGGGCCCTGGCTCAGGTCCATCCCTCTGCTTGTGCGCTTGAACAAGCCATTTAGCCTCTGCAGGTCAGAATTTTCAATCCTACGTAAATCTAGTTCTGGGCCAGCATCTCCAGTTGGGATAAAACTGTTAATTGGCGAAGGGCATGGATCGGAACAGACAGGGGGATGATGAATATGTTTTCTGTAACTTACCAATTGATTCTTGTTGAAGTGTTCCTGTGTTGTAGACTCAATCCAATTCAGTGGAGTAAGACCCACAAAGGTGTTTCAAAATGTTGCTTCTTTTGATGCCTATTATTTCCAGTTTTACAAGTTAATCAGGCGGCGTGTGCTTGCTTACATATGGAGCTTAACCAGTGAGAAGACTTAAAAAAAAAAAAGCTCAACTTTAATCAAGGTCATAGTTGCCTTATCTAATCTCAGTGTGTTTAAATGTTTACAGGATGTTCATGTGAATTTTATGAATCCTTCTGTCTTTGTGATTCAACCATCTGCCAAAAGGAAAAAAGGAGTTTTCCCACTGAGACAGAGGCAGAGAGAGACTGACTGACTTATTGCCCCTGTGCTGTGAGCTGAGCAGCTATGGGAGCAATGGGCTCTGTGACTCTCCAACTTCCGGAGCATATTGTACTTAAATAGGAGCTTCTGTGAGTAGGGGGGCCGCTTAGTAGGGAATGTTCTTGCTTTGCAAGCATGAAGACCTGAATTAGAATCCCCAGAACCTTTGTTTAAAAGCTAGACATGATGGCCAACTCCTGTCCCAGCAATGGGGAGGCAGAGGCAGGAAGATCCTTGGGGTCAGCATAGCCTACTTGGAAGCTTTCAGGCAGAGAGATCCTGTCTCAAAAAAAAAAAAAAAAAAAAAAAAAAAAAACAGGGTAGAGGCCTGTGAGATTGTGAGATGACTCAGTGGGTAGAAGCACTTTTCCCTCAGGTGTAGCAATCTGAATTCAGTGCCTTGAACCCATGTAAGGCTGGTAGTAGTAGAGACCCAGTTCCATAGAGTGGTCCCCTGACCTTCGCACAGTTGCTCCACATGGCACACCCGCATGTGCTCAAAAGCGCACTAATAGTAACAACAGCAACTGTAATGAGGTGGATAGAGATTGAGGAAGATGCCTGATACCAGCTTTTAAGTTTATATATATATACACACACACGCACACACAAACACACACAAGAATTTTGTAATTGATTCAGCGTGGCCAATATTTATTATGTTTTGTTTGTTTGTTTGATTTTTGGAGTTAGTTTCTCTGTGTAGCCCTGACTATCCTGGAGCTTGCTCTGTAGACCAGGCTGGCCTCGAACTCACAGAGATCTGTCTGCCTCTACCTTCCAAGTGCTGGGATTAAAGGAGTATACCACTACTACCTATTAATAGCTATTACTATTATTTTATTTGGTTTGTCAAGGCAGGGTTTCTCTGTATAACAGCCCTGGCTGTCCTGGAACTCACTTTGTAGACCAGGCTGCCACCCCTTTTGGATTACTTTTTATTTTTAATTCTTTATCTATGAATGGGTTTATGCACATGGGTACAGTGCCCAAAGAGGCCAGAAGAGGGCATCGGATCCCCTGTAGCTGGAGTTTGAGCTGCCTGAGGTGGGTTCTGGGAATAAGGTCCTCTAAAGAGCAGGATGCACTCAACTGTTGAGCCATCTCTCCTTTTCCTGCCGTCCTTTCTCACTTCCCATAACTCCTCCTCGACAGTTTGGCCACCTGGATGTGTAGGCAGGTGCGCACACATCCGTCCTGACAAGAGAATTAATCTCATCCCACGCCCTTCAGTCTCTGGAGAGCAGAGCCTCTGGAGAAGTCAAGGAAGGAGAAGTGATGGCTCCAGTCTACTTCCTCCCAGCCTGGTTACCGGTCCTGGCTCAGCTAGGAGAGAAGGACCTGGCACCTCCTTTCGCTTCACAGTCCCTCTCTCAGGACTCCTCCTGAAGCTAAGGCAGGCTGCAGGGAGAACGTGCAAGAAGTGTGTTTCACACACACACACACACACACACACACACACACACACACACACCTTTGTACCTGCTTCCTTAACTTCTCCTGGGCTGACATGAATAAATGTCTACACTCGATAGGGCACCAACAACTGACCAGAGTAATGAATGATTCACCAAGGTCCTACTTGGTGAACTAATTAGTTTATTGGCCTTATTTACAAAACACAGATGAGGGATTATTTACCGGAATGTCTGTGACCCTAGAGCAGCTACATCACCACAAAATCC